GTGGAAATTAAGTGTATTACAAAGTTTGTAACGAGAAAGAATAAACTAATTTTAATTAGGAAAGGAATTGTATTGCTGAAGTTTCTCGGAGAAAATGTTTACGGGAAACTAGCAAACAAGCAGATACGTAACAGTACTTTCTGTCAGAACTTGAAGGTAATTATATGATGTGATTATACAACCAAAAAAATGATATTCTCAACTGATATCTTGTAAGGTTTATTTTGATCAAGTTTTTAAACAATAGAACAAAAAACTTCACACAGATTTTATTATAACAAACTTCTACTACACTGTGTAGCCTCCAATGGCTCAGTGGTAAGTCTGAGGGCTTACACCGGATTTTGATACTCGTGGTGGGCACAGCACAGATAACCCATTGTGTAGCTTTGTGCTTAACAACAAACAAAACTAAACTATATAACTATATACAGAAGGACCTAGAAAAACAGTTCACATAGAGACTTATATACAAAATCACTGTTGAAACAATATCATCACTTATAAATGCTTTTCTTTACTGTCCGTGAACTTGTTCCATATACTACATGTTATTGTTCCATATATGTGGAAATATTTTTGAATTTCAGTTTCTTCCTTTTCTGTGTTATGAAGATTTCGTCTAAACGTATATTCCAATATTCACGAACTAAAATGTCCCCCAGCGGGTTAGCAGCAAATTTACAAACTTACAACGCTGGTGGATAGGGCACATATAGCCTGTCGTGGGGCTTTGTATTAAAACAAACAAACTAATATTTATAATGAAATGTTTCGATACTTAAACAATATAGAATTATTACGGAGTATAAATAGAACACTACGATCAAGTTAATCCGTAAAAACCTGAGTTATTCTCGACTAACTATTGATGCCCATTACTTAAAACAGAACCAAAGTATAATTCATACTTATTTCAAAGGTAATCAAACAGTTAAAAGAACAAGTTGATATAAACGATGGCTAATTGTTTAGACAATGTATATAAAAGTTTACATGCTCTTTTCCAGACAAAATTTCCCGTGTGTGTTAGATACTTATTCATACTTCTAGCTCACAAATAAATAAATTAGTTAAGCCTAGTTGACGCAGCTTTAATGTATTGTAAATATAGAACTATTAGCTAAGCTTAGTTGACACAGTATATAGGTATTGTAAATAACAGAACTACTAGTTCAGCCAAGTTAACAGTGTAAATGTATTGTAAATACAGAACAATTAGCTAAGCCTAGTTGACACAGATCAAAGGGTAGTGTAAGTAACAGGAACTACTAGTTAAGACTAGCTAATAACGTATTAACGTATTGTAAATTTAGAACCATCTTAATAAATATTTTAATTTTTATATAGATCATTGCTTCGAATAAAGCACGTAAAGAATAAGAGTACTGTCAACTATTGTATGTTGTTAAGTATTCTTCTGAAAATTTAGATATCAAAATTCTTCAGGTGAAAGTTATACCAGTTGGAATACCTAAGAAGAAACAATGCAAACAATAAGTAATTTTATTAATCTCACAATTCCCTTTTTTTTTCGTCTCAAGATCGAATTGCTTAAATAATCACAGTTTTTTTTACTCATAAATTTTGTTTCACATTCGAATTCATAATTATTTTTTTCCCAAATTCTGGAAAAACGTGTATTATTGAATCCAAGATTATCTGATCGGCTGTATATTCTCATTATCAAACAAAGAAAATAATATAACAATGCTATATAAATTTCCTTTAAAATGGGGCATAAAGGCGTTGGATAGAACCCTAGTTTAGTCCACATTTCACACAACACAGATTAAATAAATACGGAATGTACATGAAATTTGAAATTAACATTAACAACAGACCTAGTATTGCCACGTATATAACCGTTTAGTGTTCCTCATCAGAGAATTAACAGCAGTACTACCAAGTTTTTGTTCTCTTTCTTGAGATTTGTTACCAGGAATAATTTTCACACACCCTGGTATTACTTCTAATTTTTTATACTGAACAGTCGTTAAATTAGTAGTTAAAATCACGTTTACCAAAGCTTTTGAAGAACCTTGAATTTTTGTGATTGTTGCAGATATGTCATTTGTGATATGAGATAGTTCGGCATATTTATTACGCCGTGTTTCTGTTTATTGACTTGCTCAGTCATTGTTTACCACATGATGATCGTTTATTTACTTGCTCAGTCATTGTTTACCACATGATGATCTCTAACAATAAGTTGTATTTAAAGGCCTTGGGGTCGTCCAGCAACGTGGAACAAATAATGTTTTCAAAAAGTTTATACAATGTTGTTTTCTGAAGTATTAATGTGAAATTAACATTCATGTTCGGCTTTTCATTAACCGGAACCTTGAACCAGCAAGGTGTTGTCAAACGTTCCAAAAGTTGAAAACAACGCTGGCCTACTCATCTAGAGCCCTGAAGTAATTCTAGGTAAAATTCAGACTGGAGAAACCGGTGGTAAGCATCACGTTCCATCAACCCTTGGACCTTTCTTTGGGCTTGATCAAACGAATGATGATCCGGATTGGAAAGACTGTTCATTACAGCCATTCGTGTGGTAGAATCGAGATTCACCTAAACAAATAAAAATAGCCAATTATAACATAACACTTAACAAAAAAGAACAGATCTGTAATGTTTAGGAACCGAGCAACACGAATAAAGAATGAAAAACTTATTAACATATGTTTTTCAAGTAGTTAAATTATAAATTGCAAATTATTAATAAAAGTGAAAATATAATGTCTACTTTAAGCAGACGCACAATACACAAAGTAGTGAACATGAAACCACTTCGCAACAGCCCCAAACATACTACCATAATGATGTCTGCAAAAACAACAACAAACATAACATGGCTCAGGAACATCAAGAATTAGAATCCTTAGAATGTTCTAGCAAGTATTTCCATTTCATGAGTACAGAAGAGCTCTACAACATCGCTACGTACCCTTTACGAATTTCTGGATGTAGTTCTGGAGAAGGCTTCTTCATTCCCTTACCACCTGATCCAGTTCGTTTGATGGACAAAATAGACACGAAGCGCCACCTTGAAAGTGGTGTCAGTTATGTTATTTGGGAATGATGGTCCTGACAAAATAACAACTAGTCCTTTACTTTGGAAGGAACGGTGTTTGCACGCTGCAGTTGAAGATTTTTGTCAGGTAAAATAAAATCAGATCTAGTGGTATCAGTTAATTGCAATCATTATTTCCCTATAATGAACACATTTTATTTGTAATTAAAGAAGCCAACATTCGCGGGCGAATGTAATATGTTTCCGCCACGCAACCCAACATGGTCAATTTTGACACCAGAGAAATCGTGAAAAACACAGAAAAATCGAAAACTATCTACATCAATGCTTGGGACATACAAGAAGGTATCTTTGTACTAAATTCCATGTACGTTGGTTGGCATACACAAGAATAGTTCACGAAAACCCCAAATTGTGCTTTCTTCGCTGAAAATTTGAAAAAAAAGACAAAAATTTCAAAAGTGTCTATATTTCTGTTTGGGACCTGTAAAAAGAAGTATCTTTTTTACCAAATTCCATGTAAGTTGGCCAAAATAAGGCGGAGTAATTGGCAAAAAACCTAAAATTATGTTGGCTCCCTATTATTACTAAAAATGTACAAATTAACCATTTTTTGTTTGTCAATGTGTGTAAACAGTAGAAAAGTATCTTTGCACCAAATCCCATGTAAATTGGTCAAAATATGCCCGAGTAATTGACCAAAATCCCAAAAATTATGCTTTTTCGTGATCTCTGACCTCCCTAAAAAGACTCAAATGGACAAATCTAACTTTTTATACGTCATTGTATTAGGCGTATGAAAATTTATATTTGTGCCAATTTTCATCTTGATTACTGTAAATATGAATGCACAGGAGCCCAAAATATACATTTTTAGTTGTTTGACCTTTGATCTCGAAAAACCTCAAAAATGCCTAAACCAAAAATATGAAGAAGACGTTTGGCGTATTGGTCTAAGGTATAACTTTACCAAGTTTCAAGTCAGTTTGCCGAGAAATGAAGAAACGACGATCGATTGAAAAGTGTTTAGAAGAAGAAGAAGAAAACAATAGAAAAACAGTATGTCTCTCTGCGGAGACATAATAATGTACAGATCAATATTGGACCACCGAAGCAGGTGCATTAGAAAGTTATCGTAAAATATGTCCAAGTTCGGCTATAAAACAGTAGGCATGACGTTTTCTAGATTGTCTTCACACACGACGATAGCTTTAGTAGAAATCAAGACAAGACCGATTCGTCTGTTAAAAGACTTAGATGTCAATAATAATTTTACCTCTTAATGACGTAACAGTAACCTTGGTCGTATAGCAAGGCAATATAGTCTATATTTCAGTAGATGCATCCTGTTCCTAACTGTATGCAGTGTGATTTGAACTCCTGTTACTTGATGAAGATGTTTTTTTGAGTTTCACTACATGGACTAAGCAAGTACCAAAACATCGTGCAGTGCGCTGCTTTATAGACTTCGCAACCTGTTTAAGTATGTTTGAAGTTAAGCACAAAGCAACACGATGGGCTATCTGTGCTCTGCCCACCACGAGTATCGAAACCCAGATTCTAGCGTTATAAGTCCTTAGACATACCGCTGTGCCACTGGGGGGGGGGGGCTGTTTAAGTAAGTAGCACCAAGCATTTGAATATCTCCAGTCTAACGCAAGCCAACAAGGTCATCACTGATGTATGTGTATGTAATTTTATTAATGAAAAATTAATTCAGAAGTGCAGGTAACTTCAGTTGCCTCCCCCACCCCCCAATTGGGGCAGCGATGAGTCTGAGGATTTATGACACTAAAAATTAGGTTTCGATACCCAAGTGGGCACAGTACATACAGCCCACTGTGCAGTTTTAGGCTTAAAAATAATCAAATAAAGTAGACTACAATTGTTTTTTGTTTGTTTGTTGTTGAAGAAAAAGTTACACAATGGGTTATCTATACCCTGCCGAGCGCGGGTATCAAAACAAGATTTTTACCGTTATAAGTTTTAAGACTTACTACTGGGGGGAGGCAATCGCAATTGCAAGTGTCGCGTTTGGTTTCGAGGACTTTCCAAAACTTTACTGATTCTAACTGATTTGATATCCACCTACAGACCAACAGTCACGTGCACACGTGAAACACTAACACTTAACTTTTCTTTGTTTGTTTTAGAGGAAAGCCACATTGGGCTAGTTGCTGTGTCACCCCCCCCCCCCCCGCGGGGAATCGAACCCCAAATTTTAACGCTGTAAGTCCGTAGACTTACCGCTATCCTATAGAGTGAGAATTTTTTTTTAATTCAAATTACCATTTGTTATTTGTAGATTTTAAAATCAGTAATTTATTTTGTTCGGCATGGTTATTTGAACTTACATATTCTAAAACCTTGATGATTCATCTGTAACAGTTATCTTATGACTGTTGTTTTTTAACTTGTTTTACTTTGATACATCTTTATTATATATTTAAGTTACATTTTACTAGATCAGTTATATACAGTAAGTACATCATAGCAAGCCCGCAATGTACACGGTTTCTTGAATTTACATTGTTTAAAATTCAGGTCGATACAATTGTAGCACACAGTAATGATTCTGTCATACTTATTGTTAATATACTTTACAATGTTGGCCAGGTGGTTAGGGCGCTCGACTCGCAATCTGCGGGTCGCGGGTTCGAATCCTCGTCACACCAAACATGCTCGCCCTTTA